AAGTTTGTGTAAAACCAGAGATTTGGATGAATTTTGAGCAGATTATTTCCTTTTTAGGGAACTTTTTATATAATTCTCTGTCTGTATTATATTATTTTTGGATCGATCGCTTCCTGGAGGGACTGCTTAATAATATAAAAAGTCTTTGCTTTTGGCCCGTGGCTCACTGTTAAGTTTCAGTTTTGGGCTTCCAAGGGTAAAACAACCCACCGGGCACTGGAGGAAAGGTCCGATTCATCCAATCATGAATGAAGTTTCTGTTGAGATATGGAGTGGATGGACGGACAGACAAACTGGCACTTCCATCCCGAACGCCACTCAGCCAGCGCGGCTAAAAATACGTCCTAATACACTGATGGGATGCAAAGCCACTATAGAGAAAGACAGAGACTAATGGACAGAAGGTGGAATCAGAAAAAGACACTCAGACAAGAACTAATCTCATCCATCTGCACAGGTCAGGTTTCACGCAGGAAATGGGTTTCTTTCTCTCTTCATTCTTCATTGATTCTTTTCTTTTCACCTTCTCTTGTTATTTCCATCACTCCCACTTCCCTCCCTCCTTCACATGGATGGATGGTGGCCGCATGTCTTCTGAAGATATTTATCTCCCGTTATGAAGAAAAACACTCTGGAGAGCCGAACAGAGAACGAATAACATATTAGAGCCCGTTAACAGCTGGTTTTTGTTCAAATGCTACATAAGAATTAAAATATTAATCCTGTTTGTTGCTCATTTTGTGTATTTAATGTGTTTCTGGTTGAAAATAAAATGAGTTTGGAAGAAACTAGCCAGTGAATCATTAATATCCTGTATATCAGCATGATTTCCTGTGGATTTATTGGTCCACCATCTCTCCACTACTCTGAATGCAGTGTTAACAGCTACGTTATGAGTCTGCCGCTCAGCTTCACGCTGGAGATGGAGTCATTTGGCTTTCTCACCAGAGCAGAGGTCATTGAGTTCATTGATTTCTTCCTGAACTCGGAGGAGGAGGACGTCCTGCAAGATCTCCTGCTGGTGCTCCTCATCCTCCACCCCGAGGAGCTCCAGGTGATGATCCTTCAGTCTCAGCAACGCACGGCCTGGAACACAGATTCAGTCCCAGATTTAAGACTCAAGAGTACTGGAGTGAGACCTCTTTGCGGATCTTACTTTAACTGATCGGCTGTACCTGATATAGCGTGTTTAATGATGGCTTTCTGGAGCGTGCTCATGTGGGTCGGGTACTGATCCTGCGCCCACTCCAACACCTCTTCCACCGACCAGAAGGACACTCGCTTTGACAGGCTCATCACGCTGCAGCCACATCACCGTCACCCTGAGGAGGTAAAAGCAGACCAGTTCACCACTACAGGGACGTCACCAGAACCGATACTTCGGTACCAAGTCGACGCCAAAGGTCTGAAAACGTGAAGCACTAAAGTCTGTTTCAGTAAGTAGGTTAATCACCCATCATCCTTCTGATGTTTAATAGTAATGATTGAAATATTACCATGATGGCTTATACATGTGATGGATAAAATCCTTGTTTCTGGGAAATGAGTCTTACAGTCATGTCGAGAATGATTTGCATTAGAATCTAGTTTTAAGAAAATATATCTAACTTAAAAAGACATTCCAGCTAATATTGAGTTCGACTGAACCAGTAACAACAACGGTTGCATAATATCCCAGCAGAG